AGCTCCTGCTAATCTGTTTCTCAGTTCAACTTGGCAAACATTTATGGAGGATACTCTGTGAGCTCAGCATTCTACTAGGCAATGTGGGGATATTACCATGAACTGATAAATGCACAAGTTGTGAATTGACATGAGTTCAGGCTGGGAAGTCTTCCAGGCTCATTTACATTTTAATTTGTGACTACTTAAGACCAAAAGCTTTAAGACAAAGGGAGGAAGCTATTATAACCCAACAACTGGAGGTGGAATTGAATCAGTTGAACATGTTAGATGTTGGGGGTACATCCTGCACCTTTTAAAGTCCTGCAACACCTAGGTATCCCTTCTCAAAAAAAGAGAAAAATCTCCAAGATTCTTTGAACATATTAAGATTCTGTGACTCTATGATTCTCAGTTGTAGTTGAGTCTCATCTTGGAGGAGCCATTACATTAGGTACATTCTCAAGATTCCTTCCAATTCCAGATGAACTCCAGCTGATTCCACCCTGCTGTTGTCCTTCATGTACAGAGATGACTCTGCCTATCATTTTTATTTAATTTGTTTTTATTGGGGATTATTGGGGAACAGTGTTTCTCCAGGACCCATCAGATCCAAGTCAAGTCCTTCTTTCAATCTAGTTGTGGAGGGTGCAGCTCAGCTCCAAGTCCATTTGCCATTTTCGATCTAGTTGTGGGGGAGGGCGCAGCCCACCATCCCATGCAGGAATCGAACCGGCAACCTTGTAGTTAAGAGCACCCGCTCTAACCAACTGAGCCATCCGGCCGCCTCCTCTGCCCATCATTCTTAAACAGTCTGTGCTTGTAAGGGCCCACCTCACTCCAATATGACTTCATCTTAATTACATTGGTAAGGACGCTAATTCCAAATAAAGTCACATTCACAGTTACCATGGGTTAGGACTTCAACATATCTTTTTGGGGAACACAATTCCATCCACAACACCTGGTGACCAACAATGTTTGTTTATGTTTAGGAATAAGGCTTTGATTGGCAGCCATGAAACAGACCAAAACAAAATGGTCCACAGGGGAGGACACCATGATCTGACTAACCTGATGTGCTTATTAGTTGTGCTAACCAGTCCTACATGTATTTACCCTATCACACTGGCTTTAGTCTTTCTTTATCGCTTTATTTCTCTCTCTCCCCTTCCTCCCTTTCTTCCTTCCTTCCTTCCTTCCTTCCTTCCTTCCTTTTTTTTTTAAAGATTTTATTGGGGAACTGAGGGAGGGCAACAGTGTTGGGGAATTGGGGAAGGGGAACAGGCAAGTTGCTGTCCTTTTGTTTTTCAGTCTAGTTGTGGAAGATGTCGCTTCACTGGCCCATGTTGGTATTATCATTGCGCTCTTCCCGGGTGAGGCAGTCGCTCGCCAGCCATTGGACAGCCACTCACGGCAGCTCATGAAAGGTCACACCAGCTGCCAGCCAGCCCCATTGCAGCCTATGCTGTCGCTGGCGACTCACAGCAGCCCAGCTCCAGGTCCAGCTGTTGTTCACCATCTTAGCTGTAGAGGGCACAGCGTCACTGGCCCTCATGTGGGATCCAAACCAGGGCCCTGCTGTGCAGAGCTGGTGTCCCAAGCCAACTCTTAACCAATGCGCCACTTGGCCAGCCCTCTTTCTTTCGTTTATCATGGAATAACATGGTTAAATATTTGGGGCTGGGAAATTTATGGGAAGACTTGGATTTTTTTTTAAAAAAGTACTTTTCCTGAGCGTAAGGTAAATATTGAGGTATTCATCAGTTTATTACACACCCAAAAACCTAAAAGAGAGCTTACTGAAGGATCTATTACAAGTATTCAGGTTTATATTTAGCTTTCAATTATACATATACACCCACATACACACGCGTATTTTTAGGTAATTTAGCTTAGACCATCAACATTTCAACCTGAGCATTATATGGGTGGTATTGTCTTTATCACCATTGTCTTGTGAGATAAACTGGTGACATATTTCCCTAGCATAAGAAAACCAATTAAAGTAATTGGCATCCTGTAAATTTGAATCAGTGATATAGCTCACTAATCCCAATCAACCAAAATGAAGAAACTTAGTCTATGCTTTTCTTACAGCCAGAAGAGGAAACTCTGGCAAAAGAACTGTCCCATCATCTCCCCTTCCCCCATAAATCATCTCCAGTTCTGAAATTCTCAGTTTTCATAGGAAAGAAAGGAGAGAAGACTATGCATGCTGTTCAGGCTCACTGTGAGTTATAACACAGCCCAAAGAGTAAATGAACAAAATATTATTAAAATAATTATCAGGAGAAAATTTCTCAAGAAGGGAAAGCTAATGCATTATAAAATTCTTTGTGTTGGGGTAAGGATCCGGATGGGAGAGGCCGACAGGATTAAGCTGTTACAACAAACTCATGTTTTGTTTTAACCTCACTGTTTTGAATTTGGACTGATCATTAGAATTCCTTTTTCACGGGTCTATATGGGATGTTTACATCTGTCCTTATCAATGTGAGACATTAAAAAAAAAACTTTTGAAAACAAATGGAGGTGACAAAATTCCTTGGAGAAAGCAGGAGTGTCCAGTTGCACTTTCTTATTTAAAGATCAGTGAAAAATTCTCAATAGCACAGGAACTAAAAGGGAAATGTGAAATTTAACAGTGTTTGGTCAATGGAGCAAGGGATTGTAGTGGTGAATGAAAATACAAATAAAGTTATTTGGACTGTGCTTTTTATATATCTCTTAGCATAATTCAGGCTTAGAAAGGATCTCAATTGTGATTTTGTTGGCTTACTTTTGACCCGAACAAAATGAATTTGCTTTTTTTGTTTCTTTTTATTCAAATGGAACACACTCTCCTGGTTTTGAGAAATTGGATTGTTACCTCTTAGTTAGAACCATGCCTGATGAAGTACTCTTTTCAATTTTGAGTGTTTAATTATGCTGGATTCTTACTAAAGACCCTAAGGGAGACTTAACTTGAAGGACAAAGATGATTGTCAAGTGAGCTGTAGATTAGGGTCTGATTCTTTGGTGGAAGTTCAATGAAAATAGTTTAGGCAAAGATAGATTCAATAATGCACACCAAAAGAAATGAAATACTATTCTGGGAAATAATCAGGGCAAAGCAAACACACAGGAACTCATTAAAGAAGCATCCATTGAGCAAATCATAACCAATATCTGATATATAACTTAAAACTCAAAGGTCACTTAATATCAACTCTATTGCAACACACATGTGCTGAAAGAATCTGGCTGGCAATTGTTCTTGAGTTTGACTTGGCTGTTTTTATTTCATAGACGTGTTTCTCCAGAGGCACAAAAAAATGGAAGAGTAAAATCGGATTTATCAGAAGCATTTACTTGGATTAATTAGATAATAAAAGCATTTTCAAATTGCTAATTTACTAAGCAAAGTCACCAGAATGCAGAATTATTTTCCTTTTATTATGATGATCAAAAGAGATAAACTGCAGGCCCAGCCACAATACCAAAGCAGAGAGAAGAGAGGCAGCAGTCATTCTTTGCATAATTACTGGTATTTGTCATTCTTGCCTTGAAAGGGGGATCATCCGTTTTTCTAAAGACTTTTCTTTGCTTCATAGCCTCTTTTTTTCAGAATGTTGTTTATCATCCACATTGTCCTCATTTACCCAGCAACAAATACACTATGAATATACTTTTCATTAGCCAATTTAATGAATTTAATTTTGGTTCAAAATGTTAATTAAAAAGTATACATTTCATTCTTATAAGGATTAAACTTAAAAAAAAACCTTGATTCTCTATTGTTAGGTTAAATTACTGAAAGCATAGTTGAAAATCAGGGTTAATCATTGTGAAATTTAGTATCATTAGCCTGGGGTTGATTGTGATAACAGTTATAATTAATTTTCCTATCCCTTTAAGAAAACAAAGTCTCAAAAATTATGACACCTACAGCTTTATTTATATTTAAGGAGAAAATTTTGAAGAAAACAAATGTAAGAGGAAACAAAGGAAGTTTGCCTCAAAGAGAAAAACACTAAAGAAAAAGCTACTACGTCAGATATTCTATCATTAGAAAATGAATGAGAATTTTATTATTTCTTGGCTTTTAAAAAATCTGCCCTTTGCCAAATATAAGAATGTTGCCAACCTGGAAAAAACAGGATCCATTTTTCTACATAACCACATTTAGTAATTTCCATGAAACTGACATTTTAGAACTATGGCCAAAAGCCAAATTAAAACGTATAGGTTCTAGCCCTAAATTCTGAGACAGTTTTCTTAAGAAAGGCCTAAAGGATACTTTAAAACAAACTCAATTAGTATAATTACAGAGGGTTTAAATAACACATGCACACTGTATCTGCTTCTGTAAAACACAGCTGTTTTGTAATATTTTGCTACTTTTAAAAATTAAAATGTGGCCATATATAAAGTAACTTTTAAAGAGTGAATCCGTTGTCTTCTGCATCATTAAAAATTTTAAAGACCTTACAACCAATTAGCTTGGAAATCCTATATTCATGCTTCTGAATATTGCTGCAGCTGTATCAAAGAAAGCAGCACATCCAGGTATTTAATATAACAGAAACAAGACACAGGCAGCAACTTGTATCCTCTGGCAGTTGACATGCTAATTTCTTCGCCTCCGCTCTCAGGCTCACTCCACCCAACTTCACCAATCTCTTCCCCCCCCCACCCCCCCCCGAGACACGAGGAACCCTCAGGGCCCTGGAAGGTGCCTTGCGGGGAGTAAGGAGACGCCGGAAGAGCGAGGGAAGAGCACGCGGTGCCTACACCCTTGGCCTCGAGGTGAGTGCGGGCTGCCGCGGCTGGCCGGGGGTGAGGGGAACCGGTGGAGGAGCGCAGGGTCGAGGTGGACCACCCCTCTCTGTCCGGGACTTGGGATCTGCAGCCCGAGGCGTGGGGCCCGCAGCCCCCGCTGGGCCCGGGCACGGATGGGCGGGCAGGGGGCGGAGCGCTGGGCGGCGGGAAAGGGGCGGGGAGGACAGCTCAGGCTCATATGGTGGCAGAACCTGCCGGCGAGGTGGGAGACTCACCGCAAGGAGGAAGGGAAGCGAAGACTGCGGCTGCGGGGGACTGAGGAGACGCATGGAGTCCAGAGGTCAGGCAGTCTTCACCTCCTTCTGCAGCTGTGTTGGCGAAGCCGGCAGGCTCACCGGCAGCAACCGCAACCCAACGCGCAGGTGGGCACTGTCGAGATTGGCGCTCTGCCCCATCCCGGGCCGCTGCGTGCTGGATGCCCTCTCTTCCAGGCCACTGAGCTCGGGGGCGAAGGCTGGGCTGGTCTGGGAACAGGAGGAAGGTGCACGGCTCCTTGGTGTACACGCTTGTGCACGCGCGCTGTGCTAGGTGGGGTAGAGGTGCGGAAAAGCTTCCTCTCGGGATTTTCTCCCTCGGGTCTCACTGTCTCCACCCCGCCCTTCTGACGAGTTGAGAACCCGAGCGGCTTTGGAAGACTGCGACCCCTTCCCTCCGCCCGCAATCTCGATGGTGGGTGTAGTTCGCCCTCCTTTTCACAATCCACACCCAAAATCCACCAGGACGCCCCCTTCTCTGGGCCCGTGGGACTGTCGGAACCTTGGGAAAAAAGATAGTGGTGGCGGGACTAGCCGGAGCGTGTACTAGGAAGGCAGGAGTTACTGGAGTATTGTCTGACCCGGCCGGTGCCTGATCCCGCGCGCTCCCTCGCGCTTTCAGGGCCAGAGTGGGGGGTGGGCGGTGGAATAGGTTTGCTGAACTTATCTCCGAAGGCTGACTGCACATGCACTTGGCGCCTTGTGCACCTTTGGACAAGGGTTTAATGGAGACACGTGGGAGCAAGATTGGTTGCTGGCCGGCCCCCCCAAAAGCCTCTTGAGATGACCCAGCGCGTGTTCGTCGTTGGGAAGGAAGGGAGAGTGTGAGTGTGTGTGATTGTCTGTCCTAGGGAGGAGGAGAGTGGCTCAAGGAGATGTGATTTTCTTGGATTTGCTGCAATTCCTTTAAACCAAAATCCGTCTTTCGGGCGTTAAAGTAAATCACCGGTAAGTGGGAACCGGTTTGTGGTAGGGATAAAAAGGCTCCCGGGTTTGCGCGGTAGTGGCTTGGTGGATTTGCTCCCTGGGTGGCATCTGGCCCTATCTCACCTAAGGGTTGGGGGTGGGGTGGGAGTTGGGGTCGTGCATGTGTCTTTGCCTTAAGGTGCTGGAGCTGGGACACTTTTCCTGGGTAGACTGGAACTCGGGAGGTAAAAAAAGCTGTGCAGCACAGTCTGTTATTCTCAATTAACTCTAGAATGTGTCTCTCAATGCCTCTGTCCTCTCCCTCGCCCTCTCCCTCTCACACCCTCCTGTGATCTACCTGTCTTGCTCTTTCTCTCTTGTACTCTCTCTACACACACACAGACACACACACACACACCCGTCCGTGTGGCCTACCTGTCTCTTTTTCAGATCTCAATCTGTCTCTTTCAGATCTCAGTCTCTCTCTCTCTCTCTCTCTCTCTCTCTCTCTCTCTCTCTCTCTGACACTCTCTCTCTCATGTGCACACACACACACACACACACACACACACACACACACACACACAGGTTCAGTCTATTATTCTAAATTAACTCCAGATCTCAGTCTCTGTCTTTCTCAGATCTCAATATCTCTCTTGTTCTCTCTCTTCATCCAGATCCGTCTTTGTCTCTCTGTCTCTGTCTCTCTTGCATGCGTGCACACACACAAAAACACAACCTCTTATCTCATGGCTGCTTTGACTCAACTGGTAGTTGACTGTGGATCTATATTCATTACTTGTTCTGCTCATGGATTTTTATTAATCTGACTTTTTAAGAAAAAGATCTGTATTAAAATCTGGAGTATGAGAAAGACCTTTGAGCACTTCCCCATTCACATTCAAATTAGGAATAGGCCAGTATGATGAAAACACCCCACCTAACTGCTGTTTATATTGGACAAACCTCTAGTCTTGTTAGAATTAATATTATAAATTGATATTTTACAACCATGTGACAAAGTAACGTTTGCCTGAATCTCTCCCTTTCTCTTTGTGGTAATATACAGAATTCTTGATTACTCAATTCACAATGTTGGTCAAGTTATCTTCTAATTTTAAACAACAGGTCTTGAAATGGTTGAAGGTTGGCATGCAGATGGGTTCAGTGACTCCATCTCTTGAACTGATGAGAGATGTTTATTTGAGACTTATGTATATTTTGATTTCTAAATAATTTATCAAACCATTGGGGAGGAGGGTTTCCTTACAAATTAACCACACAGGAAAAAGAATACATTTCTTGGAGCAAACATTCTACTACTTTCCCCCCAATTGTCCCTGTTAGATGTCTAGAAAAGATGCTTCATGGTTGAATAATAACACATGGTTTATTTCCCTTTTATGTCTACAGGTGGCAGTGTAGAGGCCAAAACAGACAATTCTAGAAGTGGTTTCTGAAAAATAAAAGTGAATATACATGAGTAAGCAAGCACAGGAATCTGAAAAACCACAGGTATGTAAAACAATTAAGCCACCTATCTGGCTTTATAATTATTGCATTCCTGTATCTTGACATTTATATAGACTTTTATGAAGTGAAACATATTTTGAGGTATTCTCAAAGGAGAAAACAAGTGTATTCTATTTCAGACAATATTTAAATAAAAATACTCCATGTCATTACATCACTTTTTATTAAAATGGAAACATTGTTTTTATACTGTGACCATGTGGCTTTGCATTTAACCAGTTGTGTGATACTTGCTTTTAAAAACAACTTTTCCTGAAACTGTATAAAAACTGCCAAAGTTCTGAATAATTTCATTTGGGACACTTTTAACAAAGTCACCCTGTTGAGTCAACATAACAGTATCTGCTTTTTACAAAAACTGCATCTCACTGTTGACTTGACATCTCACTCAGAATACCAAGGCATTAGTTGGCTTCTTTTAATAAATTAACCCTTATGTTCTTAACCATCTCCTCATTTTTCTCCTACCTTGCTGTTTTTCTAAGCCCATCCTGTAAGGTACCTTCAAAAGTCACCCACTTGACTGAACTAATGACAGGTTTAATATGGGAACAAAGCCAAGGTCAAAAAGTTTTTCAGTGTGACACAATTGAAGAGAATATGCCTTTGATTATCATTAAAATGTAATATTTTACATATTAAGGCCCCTTTTTAGATTAAAGTATAGTTGACATACAATATTATATTAGTTTCAGGTGTATAACATAATGATTCAACATTTGTATTCCTTTTGATGTGATCACCAGAATAAGTCTAGTAACCATTTGTCACCATACAAAGTTATAATAATAAGGCCCTTTTCACCAACTGGGTAGCACACTGTTATGAATGGTAGAAGAAGCCAGAAGGGGAAAAACATTCACCTTTGTGGATTTTTATTTTCCTTTCTTAGAAGGGGATGCAGGGTGGGGCGGCATAGCTAATGGTGCTTTCACAGGGAAGATCAAGTTACTATGTTGGCTGTAAAAGGGGCAGGCATCAAAATGGCTGTTAAGGAGAAGGAAGCTTTCTCTTTCCTCAGGGAGCGTACTCATTCATTACAGTGCCAGAATGTGGTGATATCTTGTGATTTTTTTTTTTTTTTACATTCTGCCTTTACAGCTGTGGAGGAGTTTGTTTAGCCCCTGCCAATGAGGGTATAAAACAAAATCAAGTGCCATTCTTGAAGCTTAAAAAGATCAAAATTTGACATTTAACCAGTAGAAAGCAAATTCGGAGCTCTGGTTCAAAGTATAGACTCAACTAAAGACTGAAAGGTTCTATTGTGAATAGTGCTGCAATAAACATAGGGGTGCATGTATCTTTTCGAATTAGTGTTTTGGATTTTTTTGGGTAAATAGAAGTGGAATTGCTAGGGCATAAGGTAGTTATTTTAAGTTTTTGAAGAACCTCCGTACTGTTATGCTGAGTGAAATCAGTTGGGCAGAGAAAGACATACCATATGATCTCACTTATATGTGGAATCTGAAGAACAAAATAAACAAAACAAAGACTCAGATACAGAGAACAAACTGATGGTTGCCAGATGGGAGGGGGGTTGGGGAGCTGGTTGAAAAAGGTGAAGGGATTAAGAAGTACAGATTGGCAGCTGCGAAGTAGTCATGGAGTTGTGTAGGGTACAGCATAAGGAATATAGTCAATAATGTAATAACTATGGTGTCAGATGGGTACTACATATGTTGGGGTGATAGATGGGAGGGGGGTTGGGGGTCTGGGTGAAAAGCATGAAGGCATTAAGAAGAACAAATTAGTTCAAGGTTGTTGTGGGGATGGTGAAGTATAGCATAGGGGAAATATAAATAATGTAATAACTGTATATAGTGCTAGGTGGGTAATAGACTCATTAGGGTGATCAGTTCGTAAATTATATAAATGTCTGACCACTATGCTGTCTGTGCACTTGAAACTAATATACTGAATGTCAACTGTAATTTAAAAATAAAAAAGAATTCACCAAAAAAGACTGAAAGGTTCTCACTGTAAAGACCCCATGGATGTGAAGTGACTTCAGGAAAACTCGTGAATATTTAGGAACATGTAAGTTTACATTGCATGGGACTTAGAGTCATGATCTGACTCAGGAAACAGGGAGTTAACTAATCATCCCTCAATGCGTCTAAGACAAATGGGGTCTAGTCTTCTAAGACAGAGAGGAAAAGAGCAGACTTGAGATTTTATTTTTTGTAGCATTCTCATTAGAGACATTAGGTGCTTTAGAGATTTTATTTGACATAACATACATATAAAATGTAAAATGCATTACTCAAAAGTGTACTATTCAATGACATTTTACATGTGTATATACCCATTTGATCACCCAGGTCAAGATACCAAATGTTTCCAGCACCCCAGAAAATTTCTCCTCTTCCCCCTTCTGGTCTGTTTTCATTCCACTTCCAACATATGAAGGTGGTAACCACATTATGATTTTTTTTCACATTGTAGTTTTTTAAAAACTTTATCTGCTAGTTTTGTCCATTAAGCTCCATATAAGTAGTATCCTATAGAAGGGACTCTTATGTGTGTCTTTCACACAACAATGTCTACGAGATTCATGTTATAGTGTGTAGTATTTATAGTTCATTGTAGTCCGTTGTTGAGTAGTAATTCCATTGTATGGATATGCCACAATTTGTTTATCCATTCTCCTGTTGGGTCTTCGGATTATTTCCAGTGTGGGTAATATGAATAAAGCAACTGAATATTCTTGCTTTTTGTGAACATACCCACTCATTTCTCTTAAGCATATAGCTAGGAATAAATTGCAGAGTCATAGAGTAGGCTTATATAGAATATAGCTTTAGTAGACATTATTAGTTTTCCAAAGCGTTTCTACCAATTTAAATTCCACAAGTAGTGTATAAGAGTTTCAGTTGCTCTACATTTTTGCTAAGACTTGGTTTTGTCAGCCTTTTTAGTTTTAGCTATTTGGGGAGTGGGTGCACAGTGATATTTACTTGTAGACTTTTAAAATTTAAAAATTGTAACATTTTAATATACAAAATATAAAATTTCCCATCATAGCCATTTTTAAATGTACAGTTAGTGCTATTAAGTGCATTCACATTGTTGTGTAACCATCATACCATCCATCTCCAGAACTCTTCATACCTTGGAAAACTGAAACTGTGCCCATTAATCAATAAACCTCCATTCTGTCTTCCCCCAACTCCTGGGAGTCAAAATGAACATTATACATTCTGTCTCTGAGTTTGACTGCTTTAAGTACCTCATACAAGTAGAACCATAGAATATTTATTCTTTGTAAATGGCTTATTTCATTTAACATACTGTCCTTAAGATTCTTCCATGTTGTAGCGTGTCAGAATTTCCTTCCTTCGTAAGGCTGAATAATTCATTGTATGCACATAGCACATTTTTTTTTTAGCTGAGCCATCCTGCCACCTGTTGGCAGCTCAGCGGCTGCTCAGCTCGAGCCAGGACTCGAAACCGCTGTTGCTCAGAGCTTGCGCTCTTGAGCGAGCTCTTAACCAACTGAGCCACTCGGCTGGCCCTGCACATAGCATATTTTGTTTATACATTTGTTGGTGGGTATTTTGGTTGTTGCCACCATTTTGCTGTTGTGAAATAACTGCTGCTATGAACATGGGGGTACAAATATTTCTTAGACTGTGATTTCAATTTTTGGGGTACCTACACAGAAGTGGAATTGGTAGATTATAGGGTAATTCTATTTTAACTTTTTGAGGAACCACCGTCCTGTTTTCCATACCTTCTGTACCATTTTACCTTTTCAGCAAAGCACAAATATTCCAGTTTCTCCATCCTTGCCAACACTTGTAATTTCCTGTTGTTCTTATTAAATAATAACCATCTTGATAGGTGTGAAGTGGTTCCTATGGTTTTAGTTTGTTTCCTGGTGAGTAATATTGTTAAATGCCATTTCATAAACTTTCTGTCATTTGGATATCTTGTCAAATTCCTGTTAAAATCCTTTGCCTATTTTTGAATTTTATTCTTTTTAAATTTCAGAGTTCTTTTATTTCTGCATGAGGACTTTGTCAGAAATTATAAATATACATCAATTAAGTGCCCTAAGCATAAACATTGGGGATGTTCTTTGCTGCAGCAGGTGCCAGAGAAGGGGTTTGAAAAAGTTTTTCAATAAGATACATGGACACAGAAGCTGTTACTCAAGTGGCCCTTGTCATTGTCTACCTCCAACACTGATTATGTCCTTGGGGCCCCTCTAGAGTGGGCCCTAGGGAAGAACCTGGTAATGACTTCGCTGGAGTACAGAATGTGGCAAAATGGATGGGTATCCACGATTCCTTAATTCATAATCCATAAATGCTGAATCATCCTTTCCTTCCCCTTTTTCCGCCCCAAGGAAGGCTGCTGCTATTTAGTGCTACTTTTCTTTTGCCTCTGAAATATCAATGTCCCTCAGGATTCTGCCATTTATTAGCTGTCTCTTCTCCATCTCCATCTTTTCTCTAAATGCCCTCTGTTCACGTTTACTTTCATGTCTTCAGCTGCCCCCCTCTCCCTCTGCCCTGTCTTCTAAAGTCTCCTCAGGTCTTTATCGCCTGCTCCAAACACCTGTCTCTCAACATAACATCCAGATCTGTACCCTTATCTGCCTCCTGGACATCTTCCACTAGATATCCCAAAGGTAACTTTATAAAAAAAACTTATTCCTCTCCAGTCTGCTCTTCTGCTTTCCTGCCTTAATTAATGTATCTGCCATTAATCTAGGATCCCAAAGTAGAACTGTCCTCATCCACCCACATAATGTATATGACCTTCACAGCCTTGTTGTCAAGGCTGCTGGGTCTTTTCTCCTGTCACTGAAACATCTTTCAAAACATCTTCCCTGCCCCATATTCACTACCTCATGGCTAGAGTTCCCTTTAGGATTGTAGTCATAGCCTCCCAATTGATCTCCCTGATTCTTAAACTCTTGCCTCTAATCCTCCACTTGTCATCAGTTTTCTTTTCCTAAAACATAGATTTAATCA